TGCTAGTATGGATGGTGTTCAGGAGCATGTGCATCAAGCGGCAGCATCGCGCGAGCGCGACGAGATAGGGTGGCGAGGCGTTGTTGGAGGAGGACATGTAGAGGAGCGCGATAGTGACGTTATGCCCGTCATTATACTGCAAAGCTCTGCGGCAAGAGACGTCGGGATAGCGCCTGACTACGGCTACTTTAAATTCACTCCAGACAAGATCGCCGTGCCTAGGCCGTTAGAAGGGCGTCACGACCTGTCATCTTGGGTAGAATCGATTGAGCCTCAGCTTGAGATAGCTCAGCTCAAACGCTTTATCGACGGCTCCACCCCTTCTCCTCCGAAGCACGCAGTAGCACTTCTCTCGCAATTCCGAGCTGCTCAGTTGCTGACGTTTACGACAATTTACTCGTTGTTGCTCCCCCCAAGTGCAAGTCGCCCTTAAAGCATGTCGCTTGAAGGTAGATGCCGGGTTGCAAGCCTGGCAGTTCATCATGCGAACGTACATCGCGAAGGACGATTTGTATCTAGGTCAGTTAGAGCAGGCGCTCACTAACCTCGAGATGGGCGAGCACGAGCCCACCACATCTTACTGTAACCGTGCACAGCAGCTTCTCGTAAATATCAGAATGGCCGGCGTAGACTACTCGCAGGCGTCGTACATTACCCACGTTGTAAAGGGGTTACCGCAGCAGTATAATCTCTTACGTCGTATGCTGAAGCTGCCGCAGGTGCGCGGCGAGTTAGACGACGACACCCTCGCTAGTTACATAATAGAAGAGGAATGCACTTTGGCGGCAGAAGGGTGAAAGGACTTCTTCCCTCCCCAGGCAAACCTGACCTTCCCAAAGAGGTTTGGCAAGCCATCATTTCTCCCAAAGCAAGATACGCTTCCTGCCCCTTCCCCATCCACTCCTGTGCAACAGCCATCGGCGAAGCAGTCAAGCGGGGGTGGAGAAGGAGAGGGGAAGGGAAAAGGGGCGAAGGGGGAAGTGCAGAAAGGGGAGAAAGCCTTTCAAGGGGAAATGCTACTCGTGGGGCCAGCCAGGGCATGTCGCTTTCCATTGCCCAGAGCGCAAAGACAAGGTAGCGCAGAAGGGGCAAGGAAGTGGGGGTGCCAGTGGGGGTGGCGGCAACTGCAAGGAGGGCAGCAATTTGGGGGGCAGAGGGCAGTCCACCTGCGCGATGGTGGAACCAATCCTAGCGCAGCAGTCTTCGATCTTATTGGAACCAGAGGCCGGGGAAGGCTTGCACGCTGTTGCAGCTGCTGTGAAAGCCAACCCGAGTGTTGTGCTTTTGGACAGTGGATGTTCCCACCACTTGATGGGAGATCGGGCGGCGTTTGTGGAGCTGATTAATGATAGTTCCATCAGCCAGGTTCGTGGGTTCAACGGCGCGATACAGCCAGTACAAGGGAGGGGCACCATTGCTCTCCTGGGAGAGGGAGGCAAGCGTGTCTTGGTACCAGACGTGCTGAATGTGCCGGGGGTACAGGCTAGTCTTCTCTCCTCAGGGCAGTTGCGGGATACCAGAGTGCAGCTGTTGAATACAAGGGAGCGGACACTCATGCGTGCACCTGATGGATCCCTTATGGGGCATGCAGAATTCAAGGGGCGAGTGCTGTGTACTGACCTCAAGCCGTGGCCTGCTGAGCGTGCTGTAGGCGAGACTGTGGCACTTCGGGCGTTGGTCTCCGGCATGCGGTTGTCGGCTGACATGTGGCACGCTCGCCTCGCCCACGTTGGTGTTGACACCATTTGGCGTACTGCAGCTCATGGGTCAGTGATGGGCTTGGAGCTGGAGAAAGGGGGAAAGTCGGGACTGCCTTGCGTTTCTTGTGTGGGGGGGAAAATTACCCATCATACCTTCCCTCCCATGGGTGGCAAGGAAGATGAGGTGCTTGGAGTTGTGTATGCCGACCTCTGCGGACCCTTTCGGGTGCGGGCCAAGGATGGGAGCCGTTACTTCCTGGTGCTGAAGGATCGGAAGACCCGGTATGTCTGGGTCTACACGATGGCGCAGAAGAGTGACGCCTTGGCTGCCTTCGAGAAGTGGCTGCCCTTGGTGGAGCGGCAGTGTGGGATGCAGATGAAGGCGCTGCGCTCCGACCATGGCGGCGAGTTCCTGGGTGCAGCATTCACTGCCTTCCTCGACCAGCGCGGCATCGAGCACGACCTCACCTGTCCCTATACGCCGGAGCAGAATGGAATGGCGGAGCGGGAGATGCGGAGCATTGTGGAAGCTGTACGGACGATGCTGGTGCACATGGGTGTACAGCACCACTGGTGGCATCTGGCGGTGGTGCAGGCAATTTGGGTGCGCAACCATGTGGAACACGCCTCTCTGCCCAACGGCGTCACCCCGTATGAACTCGCCTTCAGTCGTAAACTTGATGTTAGTATGGTGCGCATCTGGGGCTGCATGCTGCAGTACATGGTGCCGTAGTCTCAGCGTGGGGGAAAGCTCGCGCCTAAGGCCCGCTGGGGGATGCACTTGGGTGTGTCTGCAGTCAGCAAGGGATGGCATGTTTTGGACTTGGAGTCCAATCGCCTGGTCACCACTTCGGAGGCCGTCTTTTATGAGACGATGTCTCTTGCTGGATGGAAGGCATGGCATCAGCAGGAGCATGCTGGGCGACCACTGCCCTATGAGCCCCTCCCTTCCCTCTTCCCAGATGTGCTTTCGGAGGAGGTTGAGGAGGCGGAAGTGGTTGTCCCTCCTGCCCTGCCCTTTGTGCCCATCTCTGTGACGACCCCTTTCCCTTCCTACGTGTCTCCTCGGGTCGCACCTCTTGCCCCACCCGCTCCGCCTCCACCACCTCCCGCATCTCCTCCCTCTTCCTCTTCCCCTCCTGCTCTCCCACCTCCTCCTAACCCCTCCCTCCCTACTGCGTCACCCTCCCCTTCCCCACCGCCGGCGCTGCCCGACGATGAGGGGGGTGTGTTGGAGCCTCCGTCTCTTGTGTTCAGCGACGGACAGCTTCCAACAGCGGCGCAGTAGTGGGAAATGGGAGTAAGGGGAGAGCTGACGGAGCTAATGGGGTTGCAGCAGCAGGGTGAAGGAGATTCGCAGCAGCTGGGCGAAGGAGACCAGCAGCCGCAGAATGAAGGAGAAGGGGGAGAGTGGAGTGGCAGTCGCGTATTGGCTTCAGGAACCATTACTCTAGACTTGCGTCGCTCTACCCACATTAGGAGGGGAGTTCCGCCTGTTCGTTATGCATGGGCAGTGGTGGTTGAGCCACGACTGGATGATGCCGACGAGGATGAGGAGGGGACTGAGCTTGATCCGGATGTGTAGACAGACCCGGAGAGACAGTGGGACATTGGAAAGATGACAGTGCCTAAGGCGTTGGGGTGCTGGAAAGGCGACTGTGTCAAAGAGGCGATGGATGAGGAGATGCGGATGTTACTCAAGCAGGAGACATGGGAACTCATAACACCTCCACGCGGGGTTAACATCATGAAGAATCGCTGGATGCTGAACACCAAGTACCGGCCGGATGGGCGAGTGGAGCGAGAGAAGGCGAGGCTGGTGGTCAAGGGGTTCACTCAACTGGCAGGAGTGGATTATGAGGAGACCTATGCGACTGTGGGGAGTTATGTGACAGCTCGCATACTGCTGGCAGTGGCAGCTGCGTTGGATACGGAGCAGATGCAGTTGGATGTGAAGAACGCATTTCTTCACGGTGTGCTGGACAGAGATCTCTCCATGGAACAACCCAAGTATTACGAGGATGGGACTCCTCATGTCTGCAAGCTGCTGAAGAGCCTGTACGGACTCAAGCAGAGCCCGATGCTCTCGTATGACGCCTTGGATGGGGTGCTGCTTGGGGCTAGATGGTGCAAGAGCCAAGTGGATGAGGCTCTTTACTTCAAGAGCAATGAAGGGGGTGAAATGTGCTGGCTGCTTGTGTATGTGGATGACCTGCTAGCGGCCAGCTGCAGTATGGACCTGCTGGGGGAGCTGCGTGTAGTCCAGCGAGTGGTCAGGGTGTCTATCAGCATGACGTCAGCTGAGATCGACACTGAAGTTGGTGTCACCCCAGAGATGGTCAGGGTGACGTCAGCAGAGATAGTAAGATGTGCTATGTCTGGCAGCAACAGACAAACAAGACTGCACATAACACGTCTGTTGTGACTTTCATGCTTGCAGAGCTGTTAATGTTGCCAGACAGAGCACAGATAGAGAGAGTGACAGTGAGGTTAGGGTAACATGAACAGAGGCTTAGTGCATGCATGGTAACTTATGTTGACTAGCAAAGCCCGCCATGCTACCATGCTGTGCATGCCTGCCAACACAACGTCTCTGCCAATCTGGCGTGTTGAGAGTCTGGCTGTTGGCATGCATTCCGTATGAGTGTGAAGATGCATGCAGTTTATTTCCGTATTCCGGCATGCATCTTCACATTCATTCACGCCCACACAAATGTATGCATGCATGGCATACTCTCTGCTTTCTTCATTTCTCTTCAGATGTCTACTGGGGCTCCGCATTTCCCCCCTCTCACCCCCATTTCCCGCCCCTTCTTTCCTTGGTTGACCCTCACATAGCAGAGCTCTCTAGCAGCGTCCCGTCTGTGTCCCCCGGCATCATCTGCCGTCTCCCATCTCCCATCTCCCATCTCCCATCTCTCATCTCCCATCTCCTCCCTTCCCAACTCTCATCGCCCATGTCCCTGCAGGGTGTGGTAGCAAAGGATGTGTTCACAGCGTCGTACCAGGGACGAAGAAATGACCTCGGTGAGATGATGCTTCTATGACCTACTGCCCTAACCTCATCCTCTTTGTCATATGACACAGTTGGAACATTGTGCCATGTCATGGCATTGTGCCATAGTGGTACCAGGTACCATGTACCACAATGCATCGGGTACCGGTCTTGATCAGGTCTTTGGATTGTAGGTAGCAGTCTTGTGTTGTGACTCTAGTGGCTCTAGCGACTCAAGTGACAATGGATACAACAAAGTTTAGTTACCTCACGGTGCAATGCTTTGAATTGCAGAGGTAGCTGTATTGTGAAATAATGACATAACATAATGTACCTTATCGTTTTTCTCTCATGATGTTACATAACAGCTAGCATCCTTCTGCTTCAGCGGGAAGAGAGGGGATAAAAAGCGCACATTTTCCAAAACACAGAGAGGTATCACATTTGTTCAAAGACTAGATCTTATGAAAGGCGATGTGACTACACAAGTGGCTGCACTGCACCGACTGTCAAGATCTTGGACGAAGCAGCACCGACAGACAGTTCCGTGCGCCTGTCACTGTCAGGGCTGCTGCGGCCAAGTTCTGGCAGTGATTGTGAGCCCCGCAAAGCGACTGAGGCCCCTACAACCGTTGCCTAATCTCCAAAGAAGTCGCGAGCATCAGTCCACTTTGCAATTTTTTCTTCCATTTGTCCATTCAACGCCCCATGCCTCCGCCCATACCACCATCCATGCCTCCGCCCATACCCCCATCCATGCCTCCGCCCATACCCCCATCCATGCCTCCTCCCATACCCCCATCCATGCCTCCGCCCATGCTCCCCCCATGACTCATGGCTCCTTCTGATCCGGGAGCAGATGACCCAGGTCCGCCCATGCTGCCCCCAGGTCCGCCCATGCTGCCCCCAGGTCCGCCCATGCTGCCCCCAGGTCCACCCATGCTGCCCCCAGGTCCGCCCATGCTGCTCCCAGGTGCGCCCATGCTGCCCCCAGGTCCGCCCATGCTCCCACCAGGTCCGCCCATGCCTCCTCCAATCCCGCTGCCTATCCCAGATCCGCCCAGTCCGGGTGCTGCCAGCGACCCTGGAGCAAACGAGCCGGAGCCATCCACACCTCCGCCGCCCATTCCGCCATCGCCCATCCCTCCGCCCATTCCCCCGCCGCCCATCCCTCCACGGCCCATACCTCCACCGCCCATCCCTCCGCCGCCCAATCCTCCACCGCCCATCCCTCCGACGCCCATCCCTCCGCCGCCCATTCCTCCACCACCCATTCTGCCGCTGCTGATTCCGCCGGGTGCTGCCTGCGACCCTGGAGCAGAAGACCCTGAGCCACGCCCTCCCGTTCCACCACCCATGCCTCCGCCCATTCCCCCACCGCCCATTCCACCTCCGCCAATTCCGCCTCCGCCCATTCCCCCACCGCCCATTCCACCTCCGCCGATCCCGCCGCCGCCCATACCTCCTCCGCCCATTCCGCCGCCGCCCATTCCGCTGCCGCCCATCCCGCCGCCGCGCATCCCGCCGCCGCCCATTCCGCCGCCACCCATTCCGCCGCCGCCCATCCCGCCGCCGCCCATTCCGCCGCCACCCATTCCGCCCCCGCCCATTCCGCCGCCGCCCATCCCGCCGCCGCCCGTTCCGCCGCCACCCATTCCGCCCCCGCCCATTCCGCCGCCGCCCATCCCGCCGCCGCTCGTTCCGCCGCCGCCCATTCCGCCGCCGCTAATTCCGCCTCCGCCCATTCCGCCTCCGCCCATTCCGCCTCCGCCCATTCCGCCGCCTCCCATTCCGCCCCCGCCCATTCCGCCGCCGCCCATTCCGCCGCCGCTCCTTCCGCCGCCACCCAATCCGCCGCCGCCCATTCCGCCGCCGCCCATTCCTCCACCACCCATTCTGCCGCTGCTGATTCCGCCGGGTGCTGCCTGCGACCCTGGAGCAGAAGACCCTGAGCCACGCCCTCCCGTTCCACCACCCATGCCTCCGCCCATTCCCCCACCGCCCATTCCACCTCCGCCCATTCCGCCGCCGCCTGTTGCGCTGCTGCCCATTCCGCCGCCTCCCATTCCGCCCCCACCCATTCCGCCGCCGCCCATTCCACCGCCGCCCATTCCGCCGCCACCCAATCCGCCGCCGCCCATTCTGCCGCCGCCCATTCCGCCGCCGCCCATTCCTCCGCCACCCATTCCGCCGCCACCCGTTCCGCCGCCACCCATTCCCCCCCGGCCCATTCCGCCGCCGTCCATACCTCCTCCGCCAATTCCGCCGCCCTGCTGCTGCTGCTGCTGTCCGGTCGAGCGTCCGCCTTGCATCTTTCCGCGCATCATTCCGCGCAGCTTGTCCACGCGGAGCCCCGCGGAGGAGCGAAAGGCCAACGTGGCGTGGAGAGACGAGAAGACGAGGAGGGAGAGGAGGAGAAGGCAGGTGCTCAGATTGTGGCGAGGATGCTGGCTCGGCGAGAGCGACACTCTCTGCGTCATTGCGCTTGTCACCAGCGGATGTTACAACAGAAATCGCTTGGGGAATAAGATTAGCTGCCGCAGAGGGTTCTACGAACAATTCCGTGTATCTGATCGGAATGGTCGTCTCCTGTTTTCCTATCTTCAGGCTGAAGGAATGTGTGTGGAATGAATTGCCGAATGGGTTTGCCGCATTTTGTACCCCATCGCGTCGCGAAGGGTTCCCACCTCATGAAGCACCTCGCGACGCGCGATGACTCAGTCGTCAAGAAATGACCCAAGGAGCGGAAGCCACATCGGCAGGACGAACGTCGAGTCAACAGAACGAAGAAATCAAGTCAACGTCTCGTTGACCATGCCGTTTCTTGGGCCGACAATTTCTACCCTTGCAAGGAAACACAAAGAATGATGTGCATCCCCGGTTCAAGCTTCACAATTGATTACACACAGGAAATCATCCAAAGGGCCATAGATTCCTTCTTGATCTTCCTAGTATCAATATATCATACTTGTACTAGTATGTTACACCTGTATTATACTTGTAGTATAGTATACATGTAGTGGCGACGGAATCGTTTTAGGGTTGCGGTGTCAAACATATTTGTATAGGCCAGATAGGTGCGTACTCTTAGAGGGTACAATCCCTTAGACAAGACCAACCTAATAGCATCATTCTAGTCATTCTTTCTCACTTTGATATGGTATCACGCTAGGTTAGGTCCACTCCGCCCACCCGCGCTTCCGCCTTAGGCCTAGTCCTAGCCGCCCCGTTAGCGCCACGCTGGCCCCGTTAGCGCCACGCTGGCCGCGTTAGCGCCACGCTGGCCCCGTACGCCCCGCTGGCCCTCTAGCGCCCCGCTGGCTCCTTAGCGCCCCGCTGGCTCCTTAGCGCCCTGCTAGCCCCGTCGAGCCCCACTAGCCCCGTGCGCCCCGCCGGCCTCGTATGCCTCGCTGGCCCCGTTTGCCCCGCTGATCCCATTAGCGCCCCGTTGGCCCAGTCGAGCCCCGCTAGCCCCGTGCGCCCCACCGGCCCTGTACACCCCGCTAGCCCCGTCGCGTCCCGCTAGCCCCGTGCGCCGAGCCGGCCCCGCTTTGCCCCACTGGCCCCGTTCGCCCCGTTGGCCCCGCTTGCGCCCCGCTAGCCCTGTTGCGCCCCACTAGCCCCGTGCGTCCCGCTGGTCCCGTGCGCCGCGCTGGCCCCGTTTGCCCCGCTGGCTCCGTTAGCGCCCCGCTAGCCCTGTGCGCCCCGCTGGCCCTGTGCGCCCCGCCGGCCCCCTGCTAGCCGGCCCCTCCCTTGCTGGCCCCAAGTGCCACCGGCCCCTGCTCCGCCGGCCACAGCCCGCACCGGCCCCGCGCCGGCCAGCCGCCGCAGTGCAATGCCGCCGAGCCGCCGTGTAGCTGTGCCGCCGTGTCGCTGCGCCGCCGCGTCGCTCTGCCGCCCCTGACCTACCGCCCTTGGCTCGCTTCTGCGCCGGCACATCTGTCGGCTGTCTCCACTGCTCTCCACCGCACTCCACCGTTCTCCACCACCCTCCACCACTCTCCACCGCACTCCACTGCTCTCCACCGCTCTCCACTGCTTTGCTTCGCCTTTCCTCGTCTCCCTGTCAGCGGCACTCAGCTGCTTCAGCTGTGGTAATGGCGGACTCACAGCTCCGCCTTGACGCGGAGGGTCGGGCGATAGACTTCGAGCTCTGGCTCGTCGACCTCCGCCGTCACCTTACAGGTCAGCGCAGGACGATCACTCCCTGGCTCTTCATGTCGATGGCCTTCTTCCCTGCCCCGCTGCGCTTGTTGCCCGCCCTGCTGCCCCCACCACTACTGAGCGTGAGGCCTTTACACTGCTGTGCTTTATTGTGCTGACTGGGACTCGCGCGACGCCGTCATGCACCTTGCTATTAGTCACACGCTTCCTCTGCCTGAGCGTCCCCGCTTTACCACTGTAGCGAACGCCCATGCTTTCTCAAATGCAGTCATTGCGTACTATTCCACCACCGCCTCTGCCTCTGGTGGCCGCCTGATCCTCCCCATGCTGTTCCCTGATCTTGCATCCTTCCCCACTGTTGCCAACCATGCCACACTTCTCCGCGTGCTTGAGATGAGCTACCGCCCTTCTAGCACGCAGGCTAAGCTCACTGCCTTTCTGCCGCCGCTCTGCGCTACCCTTTATCTCATTGCCACACGCCTCCCCGACTGCCTAGCCACAGCTCGCGACCACTTCCTGAGTCAGCACCCGGGTGACTACACCCCCCCCGCCTTTGTCACCACCCTGTCTGCGATAGAGACCCGCCAGCGCAGTATTGTTCAGTCTAGCGGTACTGCGCCGATCCCTATCTTTCAAGGCTCTTCTCCCTCGAAGTGCTCTTACTCTGACGTCTCTGCCACTGTTGCTGAGACCGCCGCTGCGGTCTTAGCGCAGCCGCATCCGGGTAGGGGCCGCCGCCCCAAGGGGGGGCGTGGCGGAGAGAAGGGGGGTGGGGTTGGGGAGGGTGGAGGAGGTGGGGGCGGGGACAGTTGTTCGGACGAGGGGACCGGGGCTGGTGCCCCGGAGCAGCAGCCGCAGCCGCAGCCTCAGGAGCAGCAGGAGCAGCAGCAAGAGACTCAGCAGCAACAGCAGCAGCCACAGCAGCAGTCGCCGTGGGGTCCCCCGCCGCAGTGGTGGACTGGCGGCGCTGGTGGTGGTGGTCGTGGTGGTGGGGGGCACAGCTCGGGGTCGGGTGGCAGTTCCATTGCGGTCATGTGTCAGTACCAGCTTCAGATCGGCCCCCGCCGCGGCAGCCTTTGCGACCGTTCCAGCCACACCGCCGCCCGCTGCTACCGCCGCCTGGGCGACCTCTTCCGTCACCGCTTCGGTCGCACGCCGGACCCTCCTAACTGGTACGTCCTGGCTCGCCGCCGTGTGCCTGTCTTTGAGCCTGACATGGATCAAATTAGGACTGCTATGTCTGTCATGTATGCTGATGACTCTAGTGTGATTGAACCCTATTACCTGGTATTGCCTAGAGTATGTGTGTCCCCTGTGTGTAGTTTAGGCTCCCCTGCTGTGTCAGGCATAGGACCCTCTGCCTTGTTTAGCCTAGGTTCCATGCTAGCCCCTTCGCCGGTTGGTGCTACTGCCTCCCTCTCCTTTACACTCGACTCTGGCGCGTCCGACCTGCTTCTTTCATGATCACACTGCGCTCACGCTGCTTGCTGCCCCCGCCGCTGTAGCACTTGCTGACCCCTCCTCACGTCTGGTAGTTGCCCGTAGTTCCACTACCCACCCATGTACGGCGGTCCCCTCAGACTCTCTTACAGGCCTGCACATCCCCTCGTTCTCTAGGAACCTCATTGGTATCGGCTCTCTTGAGGACCTCGGCGTCACCTCTACGTTCCCCGTACACGAGCTGTACGCGGTTTGTACCGAGGCCGCCACTGGTGCCCCTCTGACCACGTTCCTCCGGGACCCTGTGTCTGGCCTGTTTACGCTTGACACTGCTTCCCCCCTGGTAGGGGCATCCCACCAGTTGCCTGCAGCAATCCAGGTCGTTGTGGCATGCTCATCTTGGTCGCTTACTCACCCGTCACTTCTGTGGCACCACTGCCTAGGTCACCCGGCCCCCCCGCGTTTGCGTCACATGTCCCATCACGGTCTTGTCTTCGGTCTCCCTGCGTCGCTCCCTACCCTACCTCCCTCACCTGCGCCACCGTGAACGCCTTGCGTTGAGGGCTGGCTGCGCCGTGCTCCTCACTCCTCCTCGCTTCCCCCTACCACTGCGCCACTCTAGACCCTGCACCTGGACGTTTGGGGTATAGCCTCCGTCCCTAGGCCGCGTCAAGGCTACTTCCTAGTGCTTGTCGACGACTACACGCGCTACACAATGGTGTTTTCCTTGGAGCGAAAGGCCGACATGCCTGACGCTCTTATCTCGTGGATCGTAGCTGCATGAGTCCACCGCGGTCTCCCTGTCCTGCGTCTCCACTCCCGACCGTGGCGCCGAGTTTGCCTCCGGTCGGCTTGGCCAGTTATGTCGTGTGGAGCGCATCACCAAGTCGTACACCCTGTCGGACTCCTCGCAGCAGAATGGGGTCGCTGAGTGACGCATCAGTTTGGTCATGGGGGTGGCTCGTACCTCAATGATCCATGCTGGTGCACCCTATTTTCTGTGGCCGTTTGCTGTTCGCTACGTTGCTCACCAGCTTAACCTAAGGACGCACTCCCAGCGGCTGCATGTTTCCTAGGCACTCCTCTAGACCGGGTTCCTTGGTGACGCGTCTGGGTTCCATGTCTGGGGCTGCCTCGCTCACGTCGGTGCCTCTGGTACGGACAAGCTTACGGCCCACACTGTCCCCTGTGTCTTCCTTGGTTTCCCCTTTGACGCGTCTGGCTGGCACCTTTACCACCCGCCTTCTCACCGCTTCTTTCACTCATGTGACGTCACTTTTGACAAGTCTGTCTCCTTCTACCACCGCCCATTCGATCGCCGCTTGTTCCGCTGCTGCCCACTCCGCCGCCTCCCATTCCACCCCCACCCATTCCACCTCTGCCCATTCCGCCGCCGCGGATTCCGCCACCGCCCATTCCGCCGCCGCCCATTCCGCTGCCTCCCATTATGCTGCCGCCCATTCCACCGCCGTCTATTCCGCTACTGCCCATTCCGCCGCCTCCCATTTCACCCCCGCCCATTCCACCTCCGTCCATTCCGTCGCCGCCCATTCCGCCGCCGCTCGTTCCACTGCCTCCCATTCTGCTGCTCCCCATTCCACCACCACCTGTAACGCTTTTGCCCATTTCGCCGCCTCCCATACGTCCTTCGCCAAGTCCGCCGCCCTGCTGCTGTTGGTGTCTGGTTGAGCGTCCGCCTTGCGCCTACCGCGCATCATTCCGCGCAGCTTGTCCACGCGGAGCAGCGCGGAGAAGCGAAAGTCCAATGTGGCGTGGAGAGACGAGAAGACGATGAGGGAGAGGAGGAGAAGGCAGGTTCTCAGGCTACGGCGATGCTGGCTGAGGGGTTGTAACGAGGCTCTGTGCGCCATGGTGCTGGGTCTGCTGTCGTTACAACTGAAACTTTCAGTACGGAGAGTAAGCCGGTTGCCGCGTACTAGGGTTCTGGCGGTAAGATTTGCGTGCCAGGTCGATTCAGAACTTACGACCTCTTTCAGGCTGCAGATATGT